TCTTATATGGCTAAAAATAATAATAATAACGCTAGGGGGAGTTTCAATTGGTTGCAATCTGCAATCTCACAGCTAAATGCCATTAAATTCTACACACTGGTCATTGTATGCTGATCCTGCTATATGTTTATTTAAAACTGAAAGTATATATAAGAAACTGGACACCTTCCAAAACCACCTTGCTGTAATTAAAGACTGAAAAGTAAAGGAACATTAGTAATAGGACTACGTCGGTAAGTTGTTCTGCTGCTCCCAAATAAGTTTTCACAGTCACACTCACAATTTCACTTCAATATGCAGCTGAACTCCCACAGTATAGAGTCCGGCTGTCGCAAGGAGTGCAGCACTGCAAGACTAGCATGCTGAGGTGGATGAAACAACAGTACAGTAAAGAAAAGAATGGAATACGATCGGCTTTATTTTCTAGCTAATACCAAGCCATTAAACTATGCCCATATTGGCCAAAGACAGATCCTCAGAATCTGCTCAATGCATTTAAATCATATTTGTTCGACTTTTTCATACATTTCAGTTTCCTTTGTATTTGCAGTTGAATTTCTATGCCTCTTCAGGTTTTTACATTGTTATTGCACAGAAAGACTAGGTCTGTGGGTGACACACTCATTGTGTTTTCACAACCTGTGTTTTCATCATTTACAATTTTCTTGCTGACTGCTTTCATCTCTTTCTCTGGAAATTATAATTCAAATGCCTTTAGTGGTTACACACAACTGAAATTTTAATTGCTTTCTCTGTTTCTTTCAACTGTTGTTACTTCTGATTCTCCAAATAACAGTTCAACTGCTTTCACCACTTACACATTAATTAATGTTTGGATTTTATTCATCTGTGGCTTCAGACATTTTGACTCCTTTCAGTGCTTACACTTTGAGTGTCGAATCCTTTCAGGTCTCAAGTCTTTTTGAACAACAAAAAACAAAAAAACTCAAGTTCCTATAACTCACACAACCTTCACTGTTCATACACAATTTACTTTTAACTGCTTTCAGGGCTCCCCCTCCAGCTCAGTTTATCACCTACATTTGAACTTACATACTTCAACTTCAACTTCAACTTCAGCTGCTTTTCAGTGCTTTTGTTTAAACTGATACTTTAATTTCACACTGTACTTAAATCAAAACTTTAACTTCATTCATTACTCTTAGCTATTTAATTTGTTTTTGTATTTGTATTTTGACTGCAACATAAACTGTTTAACAGTATTTCAACTATTTCAAATGTTTCAACTGCAATTTTTAGTAGCAAACACACACATTTTGTTCAAATGTAGTATTTTCTAGTTATCATCTATAATATGTCAAGTTCCTATTAATGGCTGCACTCTGTAGAATATAGCATGCAGTGAAGCTGATTTCTTCAATTATGTTAGATATACCACTGTCACAGACACATACATATTACAAAACCTAGTCTAAATCTAAATAATGAGTACCCAAGTACATTTTAAACTGAAGCCTCACAAAGTAGATTTGTGCATTTTCTGGTTTAGGTCCAATACAGAAAGTGTGCAGGAGAAGTCTGTGTGTTCTGTTATTGTACTTTTGCAGTTCTCGCTAATGTGGAATAATGAGCAGAAATAGAACTTTTCTGAGTAAAGAACAAATCATTGAACCTATTTGATGCACTTTTTAGTGCTGAGTGAAAATATATTTGCTATAGAGAGATTCAGAGACAAATTGAGCAGCACTCACGAAACAATTAAAAAAACCCACTGTTGCATAACATCATGTGAGAAGAGGGCGAGAGAGATGCTGGCAGACAGCTTTTTCCACTCTCCTCCTCTCACTTTTTAATTCTGCTTCTCTTGTTTTTATCTTTCTGCTTCTTTTTTACCACTTCCATACACTCCTTCCACCTCTTCCCCTAACATACAGTTCATTCAGTCCACCTATCTAATCTCTGAGCTCATTTTCTCTCTCACTCACCTCATCTTGTAAAAGACTGATGATAGGTATCCTAGCAACAAGTCTTCTATTGCAGTGTCCCAACTGGACAGCAAAGTGACTCTGTTCCTCCCGACTCCAACAACCAATGGAACAACAAGTTTGTGGTCCCTTAGGAGTGAGGCAGCCAATCAATTTGATGCATCTTGATAGTTTTGGAGTCAGTAGGCCAGAAGGATAATGGTTAAAGAGAATGACCTGTAGCCATCTTGTCAACAGACCATCCAGTGCTGAAGTGATAGGTTTTCTATTTCTAGCTCATCTTTTGGAGGCAATCTCTCTCACATCATAGTCCACAACTCACTCTTGACCTCCCTAAAGTTTGAGAATGTAATCTGTCACTGCATTACACAGAGTCAAAAGTTATTTGTGTGTACTTACATCACCACACTCATTGCAGTGTAGCTGTATGCAGCACATTTAGTGCATGCAGCGCTTTCCCGAGCAGCTGCAGTTGCAGCAGCTCTCGCTCAAAGTTGAGCATTTTTTTCTTGCTGCTAGTATTTGTGTTATTGTGTTATTGTGTTATCTGTTGTTGTGGTTTTTTACTGTTTTTTCTCTTGTACAGTGTTTATATTATATTATATTATTTTTTCATACTCTTACTGTTTTTATACTGTCTTTATACTGTTTTTTTTGTTCTCTATCACACTTTGGCTGGCTGTAAGCATTGGAATATTCCCCATTGGTGGGACAGATTAAAGGAATATTTTATCTTATCTTATTTTAGAAGAATAAATCTGATACTTCTTACCAAATAAAAGCATGAAAAGAAGATTAGCCTCTGCAGAAGCCCTATACCTGCAAAAAATGATCAAAGCTTTATTGTCATCCAGCATTACCACACTGATATTTATGTAAAGAGCAACATAAATAAAGGATTTGACTCTGCATGAAAAGCACAGTGAGTGTTTGCCAGCCGCTTTGGGTGGCCATACTTTTTATGCAAGACACTTCCTTTAAGCTTCTAATGACGAGTGACCCTTGCGTGAAGGGATTCTTAGAGACTAGGTCAGGCTTTTAGAGTCAGGGGAGTTCCTACTGCACCGAGTCTATCACGCCTGGAAACCAGGCAATCAACTTGTGTATGAACAAACCCTACAAACCCTACAAACTCCTTTTTTAAGCCCATAAGGAGAGATTGTTTTTCAAGCAGCATGGGTTATTAAGACTTTATGACGGCCTGATCATTCATCATTAGCTAGTGACAACAGCAGTCCAATGTTTTAAATGAGGAAATCCTTTCATATTGTACGCTCGGGTGCAGAGTGGCTTCTAGAGGGGACAAAGAGGTGTGAGTTGGTATGCTGCAAGCAAAGCCCCAGGAGCAACTGCTTTGACAAAGGGGACCAGACTGTTGACATCAATTCATAAATCAAATGGGGTCACTGCCTCTTTGAAGACCAAGACTTGACTTCCCACAAGTCTTCAACCAACAAACACCTCAGGTGAAAGAATAAAAGTATGTTGCCTTTAACTATGTGTCGAGGATTTGTAATATGTTGTCATGTACATGTTCATTCAGACTGATTTTTTTTTTTTTTTACTTCTACCGATATTTGAGAGTAAAAAACAAACTAATGACTATATTCATGTATGTAACAAACATACATATTTAAGAACAATGACCAAAATATGTATCGAGTGGGACATTTTACAGTTAAAAAATAAACTTGTCATTGCTCACTGGTGGACAAACAGACATTCTTTCTAATTTACTTCAAAACCTATTATGATCTCTGCATTTCTGTATTGCAGTTTCAGTCATCTACACTGATATGACACATATGTAGCAAGCTAATATTTGTCAATAATACTGCCGGTGTGGATATCAGCCGGCCTCTAATAGCGACTTTTTTCTTTTTTAAATCTAGATTTAAATGTAAACCCACTGGCTCCATAACTGTTATAATATAAAAGCTGAGATGAAGTGAAGGTAGGCCTGAACCTGTCAAGGAAAATCCAGTATTCAGTACAATTATTCTCATAATTGTGACAATACTTTCTCAGATTGCATCTTGAATCTTACAATGGGTCATGCTAACTTTGCTAACTTGCCATCTCTGTCGTAGAAATTCAGAATTAGCTATTTTAGCTCAGTGCATAGTGCTCTATTTGCTGACTTGTAACCTGCCAACTAACCATCCATTCATCTGCACACACTGGTTTGTTTACAGACAGGCTGCAAGTCTTTGTTGATTCAGTGTGTTATAATGACCGACTGAGAATGAACAATTATGAGAATAAGACCCAGACTAAAAAATACCAACAATTAAGACTTGTAATTTTTATTGTATCTCTGATTGGTTGCATGCTGTATTTACTACTTTAGGTACATATTATTGACATGATATAATCTTGTCAAGTATGTCATTAGAGGTTAAAATATAAATATTGGATAGCTTTGAAAATATTTCTAAAAATGTAATTCAGTCCTTTTTTTCTGAAGCTGAATAAGTATTAACCACTGGAACATATTATGGATAAATGCCTTTTCTGCAGTTAATATATGAGTGCCAGATTTAAATATGTTTTGTTGAATAGTGATCGTCATTGAAAAACCGTAAAACAAAACCCAAATTTTAGGTACTCAAATGGATGCCAAAAGATAAAAAATGGCTTTATATGAGCTAAACATCTAAAAATACACCTGCATGCAAGTCTACATTGTGTTGGAGCATTAAGACTCATTTTAAATCAGTTTATTTTGATTTTATATGATCTACTGGAGTGCTTGAAATTTAGTTGTGTTTGCTACATCCCTCCCATGAATTTAGAGATATTTAAACCTACGGGGGAGTTATAATAAGCATGTAAAAAAGTATTAACATTGTTTTTGTCGGTCATTTTAGAAAAACGCCTGAGCTAGTGCTTAAACTTACATGAACCTAACTTTTCTGTAGTTTTGCCTGTCTCCCCATGTCCCTCTGCTCTCTTCTGCGCCGTGGTAACGCTGATGTGAGAGCTAGATTGGTTACCACATGGCTTTTATCCAAGTAGAGGCGCTTGAGAGTAGACCGCTTGGAGAGTGGGAGCGCAGTCGCAGGTTATCCATCGCCTGGTACAAGATCTACCGTCACTCTGCAACGTCTGGGATCTTCCTTTATATAGACGAGAGACGAGAAAACCACTTCACTCAACGCGGATCCAGATTGTTCTCCTTTTCCTCTTTTGCCCCCTCTCTCCTGTTTTTTTCTCACCCCCCTGATCAGGCTAAACCATCCTGTGTTTTGTAAAGGCAATTGTTAGTGCGCATCATCGCGGGAGCCAAAAGGAGGTTTGCCACTTTTCCATAGGAGACTGGTGAGTAGAGTCAATGTTACATGTCTTTGATTTCTATTTGCATAATTTCTGTGTCATACTCGAACGAAATATTACGGCCAGCTCTCCTCTTGGCTTTTCCATAGACTGCTTTTTTAGTTGTTTGACTTTGACTGAGTGATTTTAACTTCTTGTACGGCTGCTAACTTAGATAATGATTATTGCGTTGGTGGATTTTAACGTGCGTTGTTACTGTATTTAAACAAATTATTACAACGATATTATAGTGATATCAATGCAGGTTACTAAAAACTTGTTTTTTTTTATCTGCCCACTCATATACATCCCCATTCTAGTTGGACAAGATGAATTGGTGTCTGTCCTACTTTATACAATTGTTCATATCGTAATCATTCAATTAAAGTGCTATGTAATGAGGTATCACACTTAATTCCACGCTGCTCCCTTTTTATGTGGAAGAATGGCTGATTAAAGCCATGCAGTTACATAATAAGTGAAAATTAATTAGACTGTTTTCACTTGATTTGAACCTTCCACACAAATGTGGACTATTCAATGGGCGGGGTTTTGCATTAATGGCACAGTCCCATTTAGATTCAGATGTCCCAGGAAAGATACAAATTCCAGAAAAAGTCAGCAAATCCATTTCAAGTTTTGGTTATGAGGTCACCTTTTTAAAATCTTCTGTCCATGTGTTTTTTGTGTCTCTCTCAGCGGGCTGCTGGAGCGTCATGACAGCTGAGAAGAGCGGGCCCGTTATAAACGGTAAACCAGAGGATGGCAGAGACCCGGAAGGGTCCAGCTCCAGCCTAGACAACGCGGAGTACAATGAGAGGGGTCATTGGAACAACAAGATCGAGTTTGTTCTGTCTGTGGCTGGAGAGATCATCGGGCTGGGCAACGTCTGGAGGTTTCCTTACCTCTGCTACAAGAATGGAGGAGGTAAGGATGTTTCTCTTACATGTGTTTGGAGGATGGACATAAACCAACGAAAAAAGATAGTAGGAGAGGGTTTTGTGTTAGAAAATTGGTGAACAATAAGACAAGTTCACTTGCAGGAAGGAGAGTATGAATGGATACGGCCAGATTAGAAAAGAAACAAAAGCAAGATTACATCCTCTCTGATTAGATACATAAGTAGGGTAGGGTATGATTAATTAAATGTAAAAGACATATTCATTAGCAATAGAGGTGAGACAAGTTATTTTATCTTCTACCGCATCAAAGGAGGAGGTCAATTATGTAGTTGTGAAGTATCAAAACTAAGTTTCATAATATGATGTGCTTTATTATTTCATCCATTATGCACAGTCATATCAATAAAAACAGTGGGTTTCCTCATTAGACATCATTAGTCAGCACAGTATGAAAAGGTCATCTTGCAGGATGAGCATGGCATCATAGTGAGTGCTTTCATCAGAATTTTGTGATTTGCTCCATACATACATAAGTAGTAACGGAGAAGAATGATGAGTTTTGTTTTTTGATCCTTTTTTAACCATTATGCCGCCTTACTTTATAGTAGCGTTGATCAAGTGGTGTTCTTGTTCTGTATGCATTTTCTTTTGTGTCCATAAAGGTGCGTTCTTCGTCCCATATGTCATCTTCTTTGTGTGTTGCGGTATCCCTGTGTTTTTCCTGGAGACTGCCCTTGGTCAGTTCACCAGTGAGGGAGGCATCACCTGCTGGAGGAAAGTCTGCCCGCTATTTGAAGGTGAGAAGAGAGTCATATCTTTTATCCGGGTGCGCTCAGCATTTTTAATAATTGAATAGAAAATGGGAAACTATACAGAGACAAAGTAGTTGGGTTGGGTTATGTCGGGTTGATGAAACTAGATTCTTGCATTCAATAAATACTACCGGTATTATATAAATATATTTTTCTATAATATGATCCTGACTTCCAGAGGTATCTTACTGACATTCGTAACTGCAGCTGTGAATACTTGCAGATAAAATCAGTCAGTTTCCTGCAATTTTTTCATTTTCTTTATCTGTAACCATTTTCAGGTATTGGGTATGCAACGCAGGTGATTGAAGCTCATCTAAACGTGTACTATGTAGTGATCCTTGCCTGGGCCATCTTCTACCTCTTCAACTGCTTCACCACGGAGCTGCCGTGGGCTGGCTGTGGGCACTACTGGAATACAGGTAGGAGAGGGGAACAGTGGATAAGAAAGGAAGTTCTTCTTGCAAGCAAAAATAATCATGTGCATCTTTTTTGTTTGTGGATGAAAAAGTAAAAAAAAACAATCCCTTAGGATTTAATCTGTTTTGCTATTTCTTCACCTATACCTGCAGTAAGACTTTAAAAATAACAACACGTGATTGTGTATCCACAGAGAACTGTGTGGACTTCTATGGAGAAAATGCAACCAACATTACAAACCCCAACGCAACTTCTCCAGTCATTGAGTTCTGGGAGTGAGTACATGTTATATTTCTACTCTTTTTTATGTCATCATATTCTGTCATGTTCAGTTGTCTATATGAGACTTCACGCTCAGTTTGTGTGTGCAAAGTCCTGTTGGAGAGCATACTATGATGATGGCCTTCACCTCTGTGAGTGTATATGTATATATATAGTATTAATGGTGTCACAGTCCATCCTATAACACCATAAGGAGATGCTTTGTCACTTCAGTCATTATCTACTGTAATGTTGAAAATCAGAGCTTCTGACAGCCCCAGACTGTTTCACTGACCCCCCTAACCTTTCCCCCAATAATTAGTCAGCCCTTTTCATATTTGTGTGTCAACAGGCCATGGTAGGCCAGCTGTCTCCCAGCTAGAGCCATGTGTGTGGCAGCAGATCAGGCCTTGTCAGTGTGTAATGCTGACCACACTTCCTGTCTCGCTGCCAACGGCTATGTTTATACTGCTGGGTCAAATCAATTTTTTTAAACTACACATTGTGGTCAAATGGTTAAATTAAAATTGTGATCTATATTGTGAGTTTTAAATTAAAATGAAGTGACATGATTTGTGTAACAGTGATGGAAATGTCATAATTGAGCAAACAACATAAACCTAACCCCAGAAAAAGAGATGCCCAAAGGACATGGCCACAGCGCCAACCACCATGCTGTTGGCAAAAATAGCAATGGACCATGCTTTGTTTAATCTATGCCAAGACACACTGTCTTGTTTTGTACTGTATATACAGCATAAACAAACATCAGAGCAGCAAGTTAAACAAGCTGTATTTTACCATCTTTATGGATCCTTATGTTAGTGCTCCAAAATTATGTTGCATGGTTTTATCATTCCATCTTTACACTTTAAAATACAAAAGCTTATAATCACTGAAAGAGAGTTTGATGAAAAGACCCCAAAAAAAATTTTTAATATATATTTTTGCAATAATATCAACAGTACATCATGGAGGAGTGACGTGTAAGGACAAAGTCTGAAATGAATTAAATGAACCTTAAAAAGAAAAACTGAACACAAGATATAAATGCAGACATAATGCTGCACGTGACATTTTGCACACAAGACACGCTGTAGAAATAGGCAGAACTGTGCATGCATCCGTATTAAAACCAATTTACATAGTTTGGAGAAAACACACAAGTATATTTACACACATTAGCGTTCACATCTTGCCCTTTCGGCTGACCAGGGAGGGACAGGAGGGCTGTGTTGGACCTATCCTGTGGCCGACCACCAAGAACATGTCACAATGATCAATGGCTGGTCAGGAGCTCCGGGGGTGAACTCGGTGGCAAAGATTTGGCAGCACCATGTTGCTCTGTGGTGCTGAATCTCGCTTCTCATCCTCCATCAATGCTGTTGCCTGGCTATGCTTCAACAAACAGGAAACACACTGTTGATTCACCATCGCCGACAAGCTATGATGTCATAATTGCTGATATCTTGCACCTACACTGTTACACCTGTAGGTGTATGCTAAAGAATGTTTTAGTTGTAGACTTATAGTAGGCTTATAATATTGCAGTAACACACTACACGTCCTCTTTTACACTCTACTGCTGAGCAGTATTTCAATATCAAGATCAAGATATACTTTATTTGTCCCCGTTGGGAATTTTGTTTTGGACTGCAGTGCAGTTCCACAATACATGAATAAATAAACAGCACAGAGCAATAACACACGCAATAAGACCACACAGAACATTTGTCTCAATTCTCTCTTTACTACAGTACTGGCTGTATATGTACTACCATCCGCCTACTGAACTCCACAAACTCAGCAACTTAAGAAAAGGCAGGGACAGGGTGGCTTCTCCAGTGTGGGTATTTAGTTGGGTGGAGGAGGTAGTGTGACCAGCTAGTTCACACTTATGGACCACAATGCTGTGGACAGCTGCTTGGCACTTGTTATTATCAAACAAGGTGATGTGGAGTAAAAACAATGCATGAAGCCCTTTTCTTGACCATGGTGCTTGTACACATGCACATTGTCCTCCAAGAATTCTCTTTCAATTCCAGGAGAACCACAGTGGTCAGACAGTGTTCTGCTGAACTAAGCCCGGATTTGGCTCAAGTGTGAGTTGGTAGACTTGTTAATGGTCTGACCCTGGACATGATTTTGGCACAAACATTTTGACGTGGAGGGCTTTCAGGGGCTGAAAATGCATGACTTATTTTAAGTGGTTAATGGCCAAAGATGGAGAGCAATCCAGACATCTTCCTGCCTGTTGATGTTGACCACCACAGTGCAGTTGACCCACCAACACACGACTGATGCTCAATAGCAGCTGTATCAGAGTAACAGAGTACAAAGCAACATGTCATCTCCAGAAACATTATATGACGTCTTTCCGGTCACAAAGCGAGGTTCATCAGGGATGCATAATTCCTTAAATCAATCTGATGTGATCCCTCAATACATTGACCACATTGGGGTTAAGACAGTTTTGAGGCGTAAGGAGGATCATGTGTTCCTCCACAGCTTTAACAACTATGGGAAGTCTGTTAGGAGGTCTGGCAGTTGGAAGAGCATTTTTCGCCACACTGCCAGTTATCCGATGACAGTTCGAAAAGTGACATGGAAAGGGACTACATTTTGGATAGGGACAGTGGATCCACAATTGGGAAGATTGTTGGCATGTCATCCTCACGTTGCTCAAGACAAGTTTCCACTATTGCTGCTTGCAAATTTGCAGTCTTACAGTTCAAGCTCAACTGCCACTGTCCAGGTTAGCAACAGAATTAGGATCAGCCATCATAGAAAGAAGGAAGAACTGGTAGTGTGAATCACAAGAATGGATAAGGTCATTGTGTACTGCTGGTGCGTCCCCTCAATGTTGTGTTACAGTTCTATTCCTGGATGTATGGTTTGATAAGGACAGACATATTTATGACTGGTATTATAATATGACGGGATAATAATTATAAAACATGGACATTTTTTATGAACCAATTATAAAAAACCAATTTGTCACGACCCGGCTCTTAAGGTCATGACAAATATGGAGAGAAGAGCAAGCACACTTTTAAGGAGATAACCACAAGTACAGATAATATTTAATTGAACAAAAGGGTCACAAGTTATGGAACCAACAGACATGAGACCAACAACTACAAAATACTTACAGAAGGTCAGGATAGAGTGTAGGAATCATCAAGATGCGAATACGTAAAGTTTAAGATGTAAAGGTAAGTGGACAAAAAAGTGAAAGGAAGATAAATGTGTAGAGAGACCACTCCAGAAGCCAACGACGAGAAGTCGGGAAGCAGGCCCAAAGAGTCCACACACCGAACAAACACGAAAACACCATATGTAGGGTTAGCAGTGATAACAGAGAGCAAAAGAAATATAACGAGGAGAACAGGGACCACGGCTAGACCGCTCAATAATCATCCCACTGGTCAGCGGACCTGCAACAACGAAAACAAAGAGAAACAACAGAAATAACTCACAAACAAAAACAACCACAACATCTCAGACACTCCCAAACCACCCGAACCAGAACGCGAAGGGAGCTAGCCCTCACAGGCCAGCCCAGCGGCAGGCCCGGCTTGATAACTATAGATAGCCTGGGAGCACAGAAGGACAGGCGTCCGATGGCCGATATGGACACAATCTACCCGCTAGAAGCCACACCAGACACAGATCGAAACCTACCGGCGCAACCAAAACCACCAAAACACCCTCCGTAGACAGCA